CCCCCCTGCTGCCCCACCTCCCTTCCCCCCCACCCCAGTACCTGTGCTGTGGGGTCCCAGCAGCCCCACTGGAGACCAAGGAGAGAGGATGAGTGGGGGCACCCAGGCGTCCAGGCACCCCAACCCTGTCCCAGGATCCCCGAGGGCCGGGGGTCCCTGGGGCACTCAGCAGTGGGGACCAGTGCCCTTCCCAGTGCCCTGTGACCAGTGCCCTGTGACCAGCAACCGGTGCCCTTTCAAGTGCCCAGTACCCCGTGTCCAGTATGCAGTGCCCTTCCCAGTGTGCTGCCCAGTGCCCCGTGCCCCGTGCCCCATGCCCAGTGCCCTTCCCAGTGCCCCATGTCCAGCAACCAGTGCCCTTCCCCACGCCCAGTGCACAGTGCTCAGTATCCAGATACCAGTACCACTGCCCAGTGCCCTTCCCAGTGCCCAGCCTTCTGACCAGAGACCACTGCCCAGTGCCCCTTGCCCAGTGTCCTGTGCCCTTCCCAGTCCCCAGTTCCTCCCATGCCCACTGCCCATGACAGCTCACCCTACCCAGTTCCCCTCCCATTGACCAGTGTCCAGGACAGCCCAGAACATCCAGTGCCCTGCCCAGTGCCTCACAGTTTTCCCAGTATCCCACACAGCCCAGTGCTTAGTTGCCAGCCCAGCCTTTAGTGCCCCACATCCAGTGCCCAGTTCCCAGTGCCCCATGCCCAGTTCCCAGTGCCTAGCATGGTCCACAGCGCCCAGTGCAATTCCCAGTGCCCTTCCCTGTGCCCAGTTCCCAGTGCCCCATGCCTTGTTCCCAGTGCCCAGCATGGTCCACAGCACCCAGTGCAATTCCCAGTGCTCTTCCCAGTGCCCAGTTCCCAGTGCCCTGTGCCCTGCCCAGTGCCCAGCACCACCCACGGTGCCCAGTGCCCTGCACCTGCCCCCCCACTCCCGCAGTGTCCCACAGCCCCAGCTGGGTGCAGTGTCCCACGCAGTGCCCAGTATCCCACGCAGTGCCCAGTATCCCCTGCAGTGCCCAGTGCCGTGCTCAGCCCCTTTGCAATGCCCTGCCCAGTGCCCTCCCGCAGCAGTGCCCTTCCCTTCCAGTGCCCAGTGCAGCACCCAGTCCTCTGCAGTGCCCAGGGCAGTGCCCAGACCCCCCCATGCAGTGCCCGTGCAGTGCTAGTGCCACGTCCAGCACTGTGCCCATGCAGTGCAGTGCCAGTGCAGTGCCCAACACTGTATTCAGCCTCCCCTCCCAGCCCCCACACCATATGCATGCCATAGCTGTGCCATATGCGCACCCAACCCTGTGCAGTGCCAGTGCCTGTGCAGTGAAGTGCCAGTGCAGTGCCCAGCGACATATCCAACCTCCCCTCCCAGCCCCCACACCACGCTCAATCTGTAGCTGTGCCATGCACAAGCTGACCCCATGCAGTGCCCATGCAGTGCCAGTGCCACTGCAGTGCCCATGCAGCGTAGTGCCAGCACAGTGCCTGGGCAGTGCCCGGTGCTATATTCAACCTCCCCTCCCAGCACCCACAACCATACCCATGCCATGACTGTGCCATATGCACGCCAACCCCATGCAGTGCCTGTGCCAGTGCTGCTGCAGTGCCCATGCAGTGTAGTGCCAGCGCAGTGCCTGGGCAGTGGCTGGTGCCGTATTCAACCCCTCTCCCAGCACCCACAACCATACCCGTGCCACACGCACGCCAACCTCGTGTGGTGCCCGTACCAGTGCAGTGCCAGTGCCAGTGCAGTGCCACTGCAGTGCCCGTGCCAGTGCAGCCCCTGTGCTCGTGTGGCGCCCAGCGCTGCACTCAACTTTCCACCCAGCACCCACGCCGTACCCGTGCCATACGCACGCCAACTCGGTGCAGTGCCGTGCCAGTGCAGTGCTGTGCCAGTGCAGTGCCGTGATGGTGCAGCGCCAGCGCTCGTGCAGCACCCAGTGCTGTATTCAACGCCCCCCCCCCCCACCCCCCCGCACCCCCCCCATACCCGTGCCATACGCACGCCAACCCCGTGCAGCGCCCGTGCCAGTGCCAGCGCAGTGCCAGTGCAGCGCAGCGCCCGCGCAGCGCCGGCGGTGCCGCTGGGCTCACCCAGGAGCAGGAGGGCGAGGGCCATGGCGGGCGGTGGGGGCGATGGGGCCGGCCGGCGGGCGGGGAGGACGAGATGGGGCTGCTGGGCCAAGGATGACTCAGTCCGTCCGTCCGTC